TCTGAGCCTTCTGACTCTCCAGAGTCTTCTGAGTTACGTTTCTCTCTTTCACATCTTCTTCTTCTTGTGGTTGTCTTTCCTTGGCTGTAAACTGTAAATCAGAGAGCGTTGTAGATGAAAGAGGTGGTCGAGGTGTTTCCACTGCTCCAGCTTCAGGTTTCTCAGGTTGGATCATAGTTTTTGTTTGTAGCTTCTCTGCAGATCCAGCAGATTCCTTGGAAGAAGAAAGTTCTGCACTCAGGCTGACTGTCTCCTCCAATGACGACACACTGCTAGGAGGAGCTGTCTTCAGGTCTGCTCCAATAATATCCGCAATGTGCAGATTGGTGGATCTTTGAAATGAGAAATGTTCACATTCAATAGATTTCTTCTCCTCTCTGGTTTCAAGATGCTGTGCTGAAACAAAAGCATCTTCTTTAAGCTCCTCAGCTGAAAAAGTAAAAAACTTCTGTTCTTTTCTTCTCTCCAATAAAACAACATCTTTAACCGGAGTAACCTTTATGTTCTCTGGATTTGTTTCAGTCAAACTTCTGGCATCTTTTGATGGAATCTGAGTTACAGTTAGATGAGGAGGAGAGGTGACCAGAGACTCTTTTCTGGTTTTTCCCAGAGCTCCGTCCTCATTTGGTCGGATGATTTCCAGCTTTTCATGCTCTGGACACTCGAACTCTTCTGTTTTCTCCCTACCTTCTTTCCACCCATTTGAAGGCCTCTCATCTCTACCATCTAACTCTTTGGGTTTTAATCTTCTCTCAAATATCTGAACATCTTCATGCTTCTCTTCATTTGCTGCAGAGAAACTTTCTTCAAGCACCGACTTCCAAACATCCTCATCCTCAACTGTCTGTAGCTTCAGGTCTTGTTTTAGATGAACTGAGATTTTTTCTTTTTAAGATTTTACCAAGATGGAGAAAAGGCCCCATGAAGCGGTGGCCAAGAGGAACCCGACATAAAAGAGATAACAGAAACGTAGCAACGTTAGCATCAACATCAAACCCATCAAACAGGTCATTGCAGATTAAACAGATTCAGCTTTGGTTCAGACTTTTAGGCAACAAACAGGACAGCCGACAGATGCTACAGAAATTTAGACCAATGTGAGATAAGAGAGTCTGAAGAACAAACATTAGAAGATTGAGATAAGTAAAGAGGATTCAAAAAGATCTCTGGGACCATCACATGGACGTGTCTACCTGGTTTGTCTTTGGGTGGAGGTCCTCTGGGACCTGGCAGAGCCTTCTCCAGGTCCAGCTTTGGAGCTCCTGTTTTACTCTGAAGCTCGGCTGCTGGTTCCATAACCTCTGCTTCTTCTGGAACCTTCTTTGGTGTTTCAGGAACCTTTATGGGAGGCTCTGGATCCCTCTTTTTCTCTTTGGATTTTTCTGCAACCTTGGTTGGAGCTTCAGTTATCCTTTCTGGAAACCTTTTCTTGGTTTCTGGAACGTTCTTTTCAGTTTCTCTCGTTGTTTTGGAATCTTCAACTTTTTCAGGAAACCTAATCACCTTCTTCGTTTTCTCTCCAAGCTCCGGTTCTTCTGCCTTCTTTGGAACCTCTGGTTCACGTTTAGGAACCAGTGGCAGTGATTTCCCAGGAACCTCAAGCTTCTTGGGCTCTGAGGGAGCTTAGAATAACAGTAGTTATAAGATTTATGTTAAAAAGGTGGAAGTCACACTCTCGTTTAGCTTGTTGAAAGACTTGAAAACGTCTTAACATGTCAGAGTGCAGACAACAGAATCCCATAGGATAACCTCTGCACTACCTGGAACTGGAGCGTCCTCCGTCCGCATCTCCGGCTTAGATCTTTGGACCACAGCTTCCTCCCCTCTACGTACATCTTGCACTTAAAATAACATTTTGTTCTCATTTAGCCCAGAGGTAAAAAAAAAAACAAAGCAATGAAAGAGTCCACTCTAAGCGAGTGAATTCAGCTGAAACCCAAAAGGAGAGGAAGAGACAGATACCTTGAGCTGGTGGACGCTCTGGCGCTGATGGGGCTGCCGCTGCCGCAGCCTTTTCTGGTGCTTTAAAGAACATTTAAACATTTTTTAAGAACATTTACTGCATTGAGCAGAGACACAAACAGGACAGGCAGCTCATAACAACAGGATTCACATCACAGCACATGTATAAGAAGATGAGAGCAAAGAAAAGACTGGGTACCTCTTGCTAGGATCACCTCAGTCTTTGGAGAAGGGACCCTCTCAGCCACCGGGTGGACTTTCGTTTCCACGGCTACAGCTGGGACTTCAGAGGACATGGAGAAGATGCTGGTTTTTACACAGATCTCATCAGAAAGAGTTTTATTATTTTATTGGAGGTAAATGGAGGAGTTAGGCGTAGAAGAGAGGTTACCATTGGGAAGAAAGTTAATAGTGACATATTTACATCAAGAGGTTAGTAGCAAAGAACGTCTGTCACTAAAAGAGCTTTTCATGTTGGTCAGAACAACATGATGGAGGAAAGGAACCGATTATCAAGTCTTTCTGCTCCAACTTTCAGTACTTTACCTCTGGGTTGTGGAACTGGAGCGGCTTTTGGTTTAACTTCTGGTACTTCAGTCACTTTGGGCTCTTCTGCTTTCTGAGGCAGTGGTTCTGGTTCTGGAGGAACCGTTTCAACTTCTCTCGGCTCAGGTTTGGGTTTGGGTTCAGTTCGAACTTCAGATTTAAAGGAAAATAAAAACACTTAAGTCACAAAAAAGGGTTTGATTTCAAGAGTTTAAGGAGCGCAGGAGGTAAAAGACGACAATCACAGACATGAAAACCAGACAATGATTTAAGTGAAGAACACAACGTTTCTCAAACACATTTCAAGTAAAAAAATCACTAAAAATATTTCAATCCTGATGCTTTTGGTACTTAAGATCCTGAACTATGTTTACCAGAAAGATGAAGAAGTAAAGCTGATAAAGACTCGTTCTGACAACAAAGAAACGTCAGAGTCAAACTCTGTCATGAACGTTACCTTGTGGAGCTGCCGGCTCTTCTCGCCGAGGAGGAGTCACTTCAGGTTCCCGCTTCTTTTTCTCCGGTTCTTGAAAACATTATCATGAAGTTCAGTTTTTAGACCACAGCTAACACCATGATGAGGTGTTTTTCATTTACACACAACAAGTACGATAAAACAGCATCGGGACGACACAACAGGGGTCAGACACGAAGATACCTGGGACTGCAGGTGGGGGAGGAGCTTCATGCTTAGAGGGTTTCTCCTCTGCTTTCCTGTAAACCTCAGGAACTTTAAAAGATCAAGAAGGTTTGAATTAAGATTCACACAGTTAAGCAATAAGGTCTACATTTCAGTCTGCGTTAAAAGGAGCGTAAGAGAAGAAGAGCAAAAGATTAAGAAGAGGAGACAAAAACAGACAAAAGATCTACCAAGTGTTAAATCTAATGGAGGAGGAGAGACTCTAACAAGCAGAAGCTGAGTTTAATGCAGAGGTGAAGAGGCAAACATGGGGGCTGAGCGGGTTGGTGGGTCTGTTCAGCCAAAGCTCTGAGAGCAGCATGAAGCCTCGGTACCAAATAGCTTTGTACCTGCAGGGATCTCCTCTCTGACTTGAGTCCGCTCTACAATTTCTTCCACGGCTTTTTTCTCTTCTGGTGGAGGAGAAAAGGGAACTTAGACACAAACAAAGGAACGGCGTGCAACATCAGGAGATATTAATGATCAGGAATCAGTTTGATCAACACAACCAGGAGACATAAAGACCAGAACGGAGTTAAAAGACACAGACTGACAAAAGATCTGAGGAGAAAGGAGGGAAGAACACTGATACCTGAGACGGAGGAGAACTGAACCAGAAGCACTTCTTCTTCAACCGTCACACTCTTAAATTCTAAAGGAAACGATTAAGGGATAAGAGGCGGGTTCAAATCATCTTTATTCACCGAGAGGTTGAATTATGGTGAAGTTCTAAGGGATCATCTCAATATTTTCACAGCCAAGGATCTGAATGTCTCTGCTTCTGTCTCCTTGAACCCCAGTGGGCCTCAGCAGATGGCCGCTCACACTGAGCCTGGTTCTGCTGGAAGTTTCTTCCCGTTCAAAGGGAGTTTTTCCTCTCCACTGTCGCTACAAGCATGCTTAGTATGAGGGATTGCATCCGAGTCAATGAGTTGATGCAATTAACTGGTTTTCTGGTTTGATGTTTAAAAAGGAATCTTAGGGGACCAGCCAGGGGCCCACCAAGGAACCATCAAGGAAAGTGGGGAAATTTTGAAAGGCTACCACTGTAAGTTGTAAAGACGTTGTTTTAATGAGACTGAATTGAAAATCAATCATCTCTGTGGAAATATTGAGATTTTTTGGATCAATCATAATTCTCCTCTGACAAATCTGATTTACTCTACGGCACGTCAAACATGAAGGTGTTGGAGTTACAGAGTTAATGATCTGTGGGTTTATCGGGGTCACACTGTTATTTTGGATGAAGGATGGTGATGATGGTTAAAAGTAAAGATGATTAAGATGTTTGATTAAAAACGGGCTCATTCGCAGCTCCGTCACGACCGTACCTTTGGCATCACTTTGTTCCTGGTACCGATAAAACTCGGAGGATTCTTTCGACATAGAAAAGAAAAGTTAAACGAAGGAAACGCAGCGGAGTGAAAATGAAACATCTTCCCATCTGTCCCGGACTCACCTGCGCTAATGACCATGGAAGCTGTGTCTGGGAGCTGAACAGAACAGTCTGGGATGTCTGAGGATTCATCCACAAAACATTTCATCACTTTTCAATTTAACCAGGAAATAAAATTATACAGTAGCAAGCGTTTTTTCTAATGATCCTAGATCCGCAGCTTCGTGTATCATTATCGTTAGCAGCTGAGTTTGTTTTCTCTGGTTTGTCGTTACTCACCCTGAGGAACCTTTCCTAACCCAACATCTGTGAAAGGAACAGGTGTGGTTAGACCTGGACGGACTCTAAAGTCTCTGACAGCTGCTGTGGCTCTAAGGTACCGACCTTTGCCTGAGAGGTAGAGCTCGGCGGTGCTTCGAGCTTCTCCCATGGGCTCCAGGCGAGCAATAACGGAGTAAACGCCTGGCAGGTGGAGACACCATTCTGTTTTACTCCACATTTAAGGCTCAACAACTGATTCCAACGCTAATATAACGCTGCTCACAGACTGGGGAGCGTTAATAAGAACGTACTATTTCTGTGGGAAATGTTCCCATAGAGGTAAACTTGCTCTAACCAACCTTCATCCTCTGCCATCACGTTCCGGATCGTCATAAAGTGCCGCCGGCCCTCGCTCCGGAAGCTATATTTTGGGCTTTCTCTGAGCTCCCATGAGTCTTTGTACCATGTGACTGTGGCATTGTCGAAGGACAACTCGCACTCGAAGGTGGCAGAGTGGCGCTCGCTGACCTCTATGTTTCGGATGCATTTTGTAAACTGAATTTGGTCGGCTAAAATCAGACAATCACAGATTACACTTCTTATAGCGTTCCGCTTTATCCAAAGTTAGAAAAGAGTCCAAAATGACTCAAAGCAAATCAAGACAAAACACATAAAGAGGATCTGCAGGAGTCTTGGCAGATTTAAAGACGTTAGTCTGGTTGTGTTTGACTTACCTGTCAGCTCCTGGTTAGGAGGAAAAGGATTGGCTGATGAAGCATTAAAAGGAGTAAGAGTAGCAGGGAAACGGTCTTACCTGATACGGTGAGTTTGGCGTTGGAGATGTGCGGACCGCACACCACGCGGTAGTTGCCCTGATCTTTGACCTGGCAGTTCTTGATCATTAGACGGTGGCGGTTGCCCTCGCTGCTGATCTCGTATTTGTCGCTGTTTTCCAGTTTCTGCGTGCCCTTGTACCACGTCAGAGAGATCTCCGGGTAGTTGATCTGAATCTGGCACTCAAATGTCGCCGATTGGTTCTCTGTGATAGTCTGGTCAGAGATATCTTCCATCACAGAGACCGGCTGGGGACAAAAACAGCCATGAAGGTCGTCCAGGTTTATGTAGACAGCAGTCTCCTCTGGGGGGAGCTTAGTTACCTGCGTGTCGACACGTCCCTCCAGCTGCTGGATGAGGATGGCCATGTCCTCCTCCTCAACCTGACCACCATGCTCCACCTCCTGCCACCAGAAAGACGGCTCTGAACATGTAGCAACATCTTAACCATTGTTTATTTAATAATATCAACCCAAACTGATCGACTCTGCTGCTGTATGTGATGCCTGACCAGCATGGACACCCTGAACAGTGCAGACATAATGTCCCACCCTCCTACCACTGCCACAAGAAACAGATAACCCATGACATCATATTCTGCCTAAATAGTCTAAAGGTAGTTATTGGCCTAAGAGATGAGGAAAACTGAACCTTAGACGAAGCAGCTTCCCTTAAATCTACCCAAATCAGAGCTAGAACCAACTGATCTAATCGGCCTCCCCTCGTACCGCCTTTCCAGTCTCCATCTCCTTCTCCCTCTTCAGGATCTCCACCGCCTGCAGGATGGCTCTGTAGTCATAGATTTCATGCTCCCGCAGGATCCTCTCATAGTCTTTAGGGTCATGACCTCTGAGCAGGTCAACAATGCTGAGGTTCTCCAGCTTCTTTGGGCTTTTTTGCTTGGAAGGAGTCCTGGGAAATGGCAGACATATAAGAATTGAGTAGGTAGAAGCTTTGGGTCTTTTGACTAACAGACTTCAGCCAGATTTAGAAATTATGTAGTTACTTCTTCAGTCTTGTTCTGATATCTCCAAGTCCTTCCCCTTCTTCCTTTTTGGTGACCTCCATTTCGGCGCCGCACTCAATCTCTCCGTGTTTGTTAGTGGCCACGCACCTATAGAGGCCAGAGTCTGACTTGGTCACCTCCCTGATCTCCAGTTTGGCATCCTGGCCCTTGTGTTCAACGGAGATACGACCCCCAGGGGTGATCTGTCTCCACTTCCCCTTCATCCACTTCACGCTGGGGATAGGATCCCCACCGATCTTTGCGATAAACGTAGCGGTTCCCTCTGGAAGTGAGGAGAGGAAGTAAAAAATTACAAAATGTATCTCTTCCTGTGGAACATTATTAGAGGATTGCTCTCCTTACTCTCTGTGACTGAAATGTTTTTGGGTTCTTCGATGAAGAAGAGGTTGTCAAGCCTCTTGACTGGAGCAGCTGGAGCAGGTGCTGGTGCCTCGGTGGGGGCAGCTTTGGTTCCTTTGTCTACGTAAAAAAAACATCGGCATGTGATTAAGTATTGCCTTAGAAAAACAGTTAATAATACTGCAGCTATAAAAAAAAAACCTGAACCAGATTTTGACCTTTAGGATTTGACCCCTTTTAGTTAATTTTCCATAAAGCCCCAAATCCCCTTTGCTGCTTACCCTTCACAGTGACCTTGGACTTGCAGAAGTCACTACCGGTAGCATTGCTGGCCTTGCAGAGGTAATCCCCTGCATCGGTCTTCAATGCAGAGCTGACCTCTAAGCAGGCTGTTCCGCCAACAAAGCTGATCTTGGTTGAATCGCTGGCCTTTATCTCCCTCCTGTCCTTCATCCACTGGACGGTGAGTGGAGAAGAGCCTCTAACGTGACATTTCAGGCTCAGCTTCTCCCCCTCGTTCACCACCACCGGCTCCAGAGGGACGTCAAATTTAGGAGGCTGGCCAGTTTCTGAAGGAAATGTGGAAAAAACTTTTCAGATCACTTCTAGAAATAAATGCTTGACAGTAAACCAGGGTTGAGTTTTTTTTCAAGAAGAAACCCGTTTCTTCCAGACAAGTGGAAGAAACTGGAAGAAAGTCCTGGTTAAACGTCATATTTTGGAGACCTGGGATAGCTCAATGAAAAAGTCAACTCACTAAATCCTCCTGGGTAGATAAGGAGAAATCTTCATGAGAATACACATAGTGACACAAATTAAGAATGTATATAATTCATTAAGTGTATGTAATACAAATCTAGATGAATGAATAACTTTTTGTCACAAAACTTGCAAAGGGAAATGCCCTTGGTTGAAAAACCACTATAGAAAACTCATCAGGTTTGATGAGCTGTGATAGTTTACTAATAGCCTTTAAATGTAGGAAAACAGTTTCTTGTATACTCAGATTAAACCAGCTGGCTTTCTTTTTCTTAAATATCATCTGCCCCCAAACCACCCTGGTTTATAGATATTGAACCCCACCTCAGGGTTATTGGGGCGCGCATACACTGTACAAGTTTTTGCCCTTGTCAGGAAGATTCTCCAGTCATGCAAGAACTTTTTCGATCGACAAAATCAGACCGACTGAACACAGCACAATTTTCAACAATGATTTTTGGACTAAATCAAGACGGACCAAACAGATTTAGCCCCAAAAAAATTTCTAAATGACGTCTGGCATTAGGGGGAACAAAAAGTTCAAGTAAATTTGACCTTCCAAGTGTTTTTCAGAAGAAACTGGATGAAAGGGCTTCCGCCGGACAGAAAACAAAACATGGAAAAACCCTGGAAAAAAATGCTATCCCGAAGAAACTTCCAACACTGAAATGTATGACTTTATAACTTTCACATAGATTATAACCTTTTCAGAGATATTCTGAATAGTTAAGAACAATCTCTGGGAAGTTCTTAAAGATTAAAGCCTACATTTTAGTAAACCTCCAATGAACAAATGGATTCCCTACCTGAAACTGTGAGGGACACCTGACATGAAGCTTTGCCTGCTTCATTGGAGGCCTCACAGGTGTAGACGCCACCATCAGAGACAGCGGAGTCTCTGATACACAGCACGGCCATGTTGTTCTTGAAGCTGATGTCGTATTTCTCAGAGGGATGGATCTCCTGGTCGGCCTTGTACCAGACGATGGCCAGAGGCTGAGAGCCAGACACCCGGCCCTCCATCTTTATGACCTTCCCTTCTGAATCAACCATGGACTCAGATGGCCTCTTGGTGAAGTTAGGAGGGACTTTACGCTCTGTGGGGCAGAGAGTGAGAACAACAGGTAAATTTGTGACAATGCGGAGGTGGTTTAATGTTTACTCTCCGTAAGGCCAGTGGGCCTTCACCACAGAACCACCAGATAAAAACCCAGTGATCAGGACAACCGAGTCACAAACCGAGACACAAATGTAACAGAAATTAACATGATCCCCGCCCCCCCGTGATCAAAAAGCGAACCTTTATTTTTATGATATGTCTCTGTGAGACCATGTCTGAAACCGACCCTCCAATCATGGAACATAGCCGGCCCACAATCCAACCAAATCCAGGACCTCTGAGTGAACCAAAGTTCAACTAGACTGTCTGGTAGATACAAAATCAAGACTGTTGGTTAGTGGGGCTATTTTAGGTGTTTCCCTGCAGTAGAAACTATTGATACAGAGGATTTCCAGAATGGTTAGAGGTCCAGATAAGCACGTCTCCTCCTCTGGTTTCCAGGGTAGAAGCCCTTCAGCCTAGCAGATGAGGAGACCATCTGATTTCTTGGTCACTTATAGAGGTTATTAGAGAAGCAATATTACAATCATTCAAACGCACCGAAAAGACTATAGCGTGTCCACATCTGGATGTTTGGATTGGTGAAACCTACTGTACCTTTAAATGTACCTCAGCATTAGCATCATTATTCACTACCAGGAGCTGTTTAGTTCATGCAATTATAAAATGAAGGATCCATTGATGGTTATGTTTGTCTAGTCGGATAGATCTGAACCTGTTAGAACACGTGTTTCTCCTTCTCTCTGGAAGTAGAGCTGCAGTCTGTGGTTCTGACGTTAATCAGATAAGAGGCCAAGACCAGCTGGCATCTTTTCTCAATCCTCACTCACTGAGTACCAGTGGAGGCAGTTCTTAGTGTCAATGGTCGGGCCAGTTTGAATGTGGTGTTATCCAACTTTTCCAGCAGCTTCTATGAAAGGCGGTGATGATGGCGACCAAGCTGTAGAGCTATCAGCATTTAATCAGAATTATTGAGCCCTAGATTAAATTAAGTGCTGAGTGAAGGCAAACCACCACTCTAGACAAGCTGCAGCCCATTCACTTCATGTCAAGCAACCTGAAAACGTATTAACTGGATTTGTTTCAGGATAGAGATTCAATCATTTTGGTTTGATCCTCATTTCTCCAAATAAAACAAAAAATCCAATCCAGACTATCATAAAAAAAGAAACGTCTTTAAACATCTGAGGACACAAATCTCAATGTGAGCAGATCAAACTTTGGTTAAATTCCTAATATAATTTGAAACAGTAGCTTTTGACACTTAACACCATTTTACCAAAAGTATTTAAGTCCCTAAAATACAGATTTTCCAGTCATAACCATAGTGAAAGTGGGGCCGTTATCACCAGCCTCAGTCATATACATATCAGGTATAATATAAAAGGTTCGGGTCAAAATTAGCTGAGCTATGAATTGGAAGGCCAGTGTCCTGTAAGCTCAGCATACCATGTCAGGCCAGCATACCCTTAATCAGTCCCATTGAATGGCTTCAGATTGCACCAGTAGCTCGGTATGTTTTTATCACTGAGTGATTCTTAATCCTAACCCTGAAGTATTTCCCCCCCATGAAATCTGAAAATAATTTCAGTAGTTCTTCATGTGCTTTAAAAGTAAAAATGATCCACATGTCGATCTCGATAAACAAACCAAATAAATCTCATATCCTGTCACCTGAGTTGTAGAACCCTCTCCCTATAAATATTTAATTCTCTGTGAAAAAAATCCATCTCTTCGTCAAACGGACTTGCAAACTTTTTTATTTATTTTTTTTTAAGTTAATGTGTGTAGTGGACCTAATGAAGGACTTTTTTCATTGTTTTATGCACAAAACAGCATCAAAAACCTGACTAAATCTGGAAATTAAACAGCCTGATTGGCTGTATGGAGAGAGGAGACAGAGGACACTCTCTGTCAGGCGCGGTATGCTGAGCTGACAGGACACCAAACTAAAACACAGAGTGAGGTCATGTAAAGAGGTCATCACTTTCCTGCCACTAAATGCTGCAGACTGTTAAACAATCCAAACTAGACTTCAGGCCATTTCTGGATTATCAGACATTTTTTTAGTTCAGGTTCAAATTTCCAGACCTTCAAACATTTTCCTGAGGGAGATGAAGACTGACTGGAATAATGAGAAACTGATGGGTGCAAAGCATGATGGTTGATATATCATTAAGGTTAACAGAAAACAGAATGAGCCCCAATCACATCCACCATTAAAACCAGTCATTAAAACCAGTATGCAATTAAACCAACTATTCACACCTCTTGAAACATAAGAGTTCAAAAACTGCTTATCTGTGGGTTTTACTAAGTCCCTCATCTGGGAAATAAATCCTCTGGTTTGCAGTAAATTTCACTCCAGTGTCAGATGTTATAGATTTTATGTCCCTCAGCTTTTTCTCAAACCAAACAGTTTCTGATAAATGAGTTAGCGATAGCAGCATTAAAGCAAGCTTGGTGAATCATGGAAATTATTTGATGTTTTTCCTGTGATGAAATGAATGCATATGAGTGAGTTAGCGTGTTTACCTAGTTTTACATTAGCTTGGCTAATGTCACTTCCTGCAGAGTTAGAAATTTCACAGCTGTATGTTCCTGCAGCTTGTTTTCGGTCCCTGCAGAGGACTTTCAGGATGCAGGTATCGCCTGTGGTCTTCATGTCGTACTGATCTGAGGGTCGGATTACTTCCCCGTCTTTTTTCCAGGCCACAGTTATTCTTGGGCCCCCAGTGTAGGTGCACTTCAGGGTCAAAGACTCCTGGAGTCTGACATATGCGTCTTCAAGCTTGTTGACAAAGCGAGGCGGTTCTGAGAGGGGCAATGTTCCAGTTAGTTGTGTGGAGCATGTAAGCAAGAAGGTTTAATTAGATGCATTAAATGAGCATGAAGAGCTGCTGCGCTCCTGCAGGTGACAGTTAGTGTGATTAAGTAAAAGCAGATGTGTTAAGGCTTTACCCGGGCTGACAAGAGCGTGGCAAACATCCCTTCCTACGGCATTAGAAATCTCACAGGTGTAATTTCCTGCTGCGTCAGGCCTGCTAGTGTTCAGGACCACCAGGATGCAGGAAGAGTCAGTGGTTTTCACATCGTACTGGTCAGAGGACATGATCGGCTCATCGTCCTTTCTCCATGCCACAAACACCGTCTGGCTCCCGGTGTATGTGCAGACTAGTTTCAGAGGCTGACCGACCACAATAGCTGTGTTTTCCAGCTTCTTGATAAAGCGCACAGGCTCTAAGAGAGGCAACCATCATGTAAGACATTTAGTGTTAGCATGCATTATGTCTGAATGTCAGGATTTAGTAAGATGTATTTTTTCCCAAAAGGTCTTGGTCACAGTGTCAATAAAGAAGAAGAACAGAAGATGAGTGTCACCTCTGACTGTCACGGTGCAGCTGGCGGACGCCGATCCGGCACGGTTCTCAGCCTGGCAGCTGTATTCCCCTTCGTCAGACTTAGCTGCCTTCAACAGTTTCAAAGTGGCAATGCCGTCTGAGAAATCCATGGAGCAAGTGGGCGACTTTCGCAGCTTTTCACCTGCCTTGAACCAAGCTACTGAGATATCAGGAGTTCCTGTAATGCTGCATTTCAGGGTGACTGCGTCACCCACAGTCACTTCCACCGGCTCCAGCGGATCGACAAAGCATGGTCGCTCTGAGGTGGAACATCAGGTTGGAGGTTCAGTACAAAGAGAAACTTTTTCTTTTGAAAAAGAAGCATAAACATGCAATTTCTTTTTTCACCTAGAATCGAAATCAGCGCTTGACACCTGTCGCTTCCTACTCCATTGTCTACTTCACAAGAGTATTTCCCTGCTGCCGTGCTTCTGTGGGAGTTAAGAACCTCGAGGACAGAGGAGGTGTCTGTGGTGATGATGTTGTAATCCTCTGCACTCACGACGGCGCTCCCATCCTTCTTCCAGGTCACGTCTACGGTGGGCGTTCCGGAGAACGTCACCTCAAGCTTCAGAGGCTTTCCCATCTCAGAGGAAATATCCCTCAGCTTTTTAACAAAGTGGACCGGTTCTAATGGGGAAAGTCATTTGAACCATCAGTAGATCTGTCACCTTTAGGAACAAAGAGTTTCATGCAGACAAACCTTTAACAAAGAGATGAAGGGAACGGCTTTCCTTCCCCGCATTGTTAGACACTTGGCAGGTGTACTCTCCTGCATGAGTCTTATCGACTCTGTGGAGAACCAGAGAGGCCACATCGGCCTTCATTAAGATCTCACAGCCTCTTCCGTGCTGCATTTCTTTGGCTCCCCTGAACCATTTGACCTGCAGCGGCGAGCTGCCTGTCACTCTCGCTGAGAGCGTGACGTTTTTCCCAGGCACGGTTTCTTCGGCTTCGGAGGTCTCCACAAATGAGGGAGGTTCTGATTGTAGAAAGAAAAGATTGGTTTTGGGATGAGTGGTTTGTTTCCATGGTGATCTGATCCCGGACCAGAGTGCGCTGGTCCATACTAACCTGTCACATCAGCCGAGGCGCTGGTCTCACAGGCTCCTGCAGCATTGGCTGCTTTACAGGAGTATTTCCCAGAATCAGACTGACTGACAGTTAAAACCAGCAGCCTGCAATTATGATCCGTGGAGCTGATGTCATAATAGGGACCGCTTTGGATCTCCTGGCCATTATGGAACCAGGAAATGGTTAAAGGAGAAGATCCAGTAGCTTTGCACTCCAGCTCAGCAGGCTTACCCACAACAAAGTGGGTGTCCTTCAGCTTCTTTATGAAACTTGGAGGAATCAACTTATCTGCAGTCAAAGAGGATGTTGTGAGACAACTTTGTTAGCTGCCTGATTAAAAAACATAAACAACATTAAGAGTAGCCTCAAAGTACACCGACCTGAGACTGAGAGCTTGGTTACACAAGAGTCAGCACCAACATGATTAGTAAGCTCTAGTTTATATTCTCCAGCATCTGCTTTGTCAGCAGAACGGATCTTCAGAATGGCAACCTTCTTGGCAAAGGACATCTGATATTTTGCACCAGAACTCAGGGCTTGGTTGTCCTTCAACCATTTGGTTTTCAGTTCTGGTGAACCAGACACAGTAACTTCAATGGAAGCGTTTTCTCCTGCGGTGACGCTCATGGATTCTGGGCTCTCTACGATGGCGGCAGGTTCTGAAGTTGTTGGAAAAAACACTGAGCTCAGAGAAGAGTTCTGGGTTCTTCTACACCAGGCGTCCTGCATCTTTTAGATGTGTCTATGCTTCATCTGGTCATTAGCAGGACTCTGGAGAACCTGACTGCAGACTGAGGTATATCATTCGAGGAATGTTTGATGAAGCACATAAACATCTAAGAGGTGTAGGACACTCAGTAGCAGCATTATGCCTGATGCTCCACAGACCTAAAACTGTAACCTGGGAGACTGACTCCACCACTCCGGCGTCGTTCCTCAGCTGGCAGGTGTATCTGCCCGCCGTCGTCGAGTCAGCCTTGGAAACCACCAGAGTGGCCTGGTTGTTCTCAAAGCTGATCTTCCTGTTATCACTGTCTCTGAGGACGTGATCTTTGTCCCGGATCCAAGACACGATCAGAGGCTCTGAGCCTTTTACCGCAGCTGTCAGCGTCAGCTGCTGGCCGAGTCTTACAGACTGGTCCAGCAGGTGGTTGACAAAGGTTGGTGGTTCTGAACGGTCAGGGAGAAATTAAGTGAGAAAAAAAAAGATCCGGCTCTTGAAGGAAGAGTCCACTGATTCAGAACTTACCCTTCAGCGTGATGGAAGTCTGGCAGATCTCACTGCCTACACTGTTGGAGACCTGGCACTCATAGAGGCCAACATCATTCTGCTCCAGTTTCATGACATGGAGAGCAGCCGAGTTGCCCAAACTAACCATCTTATACTTCCTACTCTCTTTTAGGGCTCTTCTGTCTTTGAACCACATAACTTTGAAAGGTTGAGTTCCTTCCATCTCACAGTGAAGACTGGTATCTTTGCCTTGAATGCCTTCCACTGGGAGTGGAGTTTTAAGAAAAGATGGGGACTCTGGAAAATATGTTTGGATATATGAAGAGAGTTCAAACCACTCTGACAGAAAGTTAATCTGACGTTGAAGTTTATATCAAAGTTCACTTCATAGTAAAGCTCATTTTACAGAAAGATGACAGAAATAAATAATGTTGATGTCTTTGGACCAACACTCAGAGATGTCTCAGACTCATGCTATTATAGAGGGTCAGACAAGGTGCCAATCGACCCAATAACACACTAGAGCAGGGACCGGCAAGCTGCGGCTCTTTTTTTTAAATCTATGGATTAGCGTTGAGTTCCAGGCTTTATACAGCAGCCCAAATAGCCCAACAAAGCCTTGTTTTGGCTTAAAAAACATTCAAAATAAAACGGATGAATGGGTCCAACACTTTGGGAGTTGATTCCTTGCGGCTATCATCGCAATCCCCACCTCATTAAAGGGGAACAGAAGACCTCGCCTTTCAGCCAGGGCAACAATTCTCTTTAACATCCCCTTTCAGGGACATAGACAGGTACGCCATATTACAGGCTAACAGGGTTCCAAACGACGCCCATTCCAAAGGGGTGGACCCGTTCGTCCGTTTCATTTTGCATGTTCTCTAAACAAAAACAAGGCTTTGTTGGGCTGCTGGATAAAACCTCAAACTCAACGCTATTTCTGACAATGAAAAGGTTTCCTGGATTGGAAGAGAAATGTCTTCAAACTTGGAAACAAAGTCCAGTGGATTGTTTTTTACTTTTTTAGATTGACTCCACATTTGCTTTGGAATGAGAAGCTGTCAAGTAATAAAAAGAGTAAATTGATAAGGCATTTCCAGGGAAGGCTAAACATGCAGCTGACCACAAAGTGATTGCAGAACTTCTGGATGAATTAGAGGAGAGCAAAGATAGATTTAAGAAATGGATTGCATCTCCAGACTCCACTACTGCTGCTAGTTTGGTTGCAAGCATAGAAAACCGTTCATAGATCCAACAGGTAGCGCTCTGATTGAGGGATGGGAATTTTCTTCCATTTTCCACATTCATTGTGTTTCTATAATTACAACAATGCAAAATTGAATAGATTAATATTGTAATGGAATTCAACCTTAAAGCACCAAATATTGTACAGCAGAGTCACATGATGTGTCATTTGCTTTAGGATAAACATGTAATCATGAATGTTTATTATATATTTCAGCCCTCATAGTACTTTTTTATGGTGTGCTAATAAACTTGCCATACCAGGCTTATAGAAGACTTTACAGTTTGGGTTGCCGACCCCTGGACTAGAGTTAATATGCATGAGAAGACCTCCATTTCTCTTCTTTAATGCTTCAGTCAGGAGGGAGAAATCTACCTGCTAACATGTGAACAGGAAATCTGCCTAGTATCTGACCTTGGACGGTAAGAGTGGTGCTGCAGCTCGCACTGCCCGCATCATTGTGAACCTCACAGGTGTAGACCCCATCATCCTCAAAGCTCGCAGAGCTGAGCTGCAGGGATGCAGCCGACTCCAAGAGCGTGGCTCTATAGTTTCCATCGTCGCTTATCTTCTGGTCATTTTTATACCAGCACATTTTTAAAGAGCGTGCACTGTTGGTCGTGCACTCTAAGATGATTCCCTCACCGTGCTTCACAAAGGTGGTGGGAGGCAGTTTCAGGGTAAACTGAGGAGGCTCTGCAAAGTCAAAAAAAAAGAGATTAGGTTATAAAACGAAGCAACACTGGGTGGGATGAGCGGTGGAGGATGCGATGCTGTGATGGGAGGAAGCAGAATTTCAAAGAAAATGAAGACAGAGAAGCTGTAAAAATGAAGAATAAAGATGGCGTTAAATGAGCGCGGTGATGGCGCTGGACAGAAAAAGAAAGTCCAACCTTTCACCATCAGCTCTGCTCTCTCTGCCGCCTCGCCGGCTTCGTTTGTAACGCGGCAGGAATAAACCCCGCCGTGCCGGGCTTCGACTGAGCTCAGCTCTAGCGTGGAGGAATAGTTCTCCAACCTGATCATGCACCCTGCTCCAGCAACCAGTCTGGTGTTATCCTTAAACCATTCAACCACAAACGGGGCGGTGCCTTCAAAGACTCCTCTGAAGGTCACCTTTGACTTTGGAAGAACTGACAGAGACTCGAGCTCCGCCAGAAATCTGGGCGGCACTACAACCCACAGGGAGAAGAGATTATGACCCCGAATAAAGATTTCCTGCCTAATAAGTCTGGAATAAATCAGAAGAGCAACCTTTGGCCGTCAGGATGGCGCTGCAGAGACAGCTGCCTGCTTCGTTGGTGACTTTGCAGGAGTACGCTCCTGTGTCACTGCTCCCGCTCAGCCTTAACTCCAGAGAAACCGTGCTTCCAGAGTGGAAGAGTTTATACTTTGAACCCTGCCTTAATCTTTGCTTCCCTTTGAACCATTCAACAGAAAGTGGCAAAGAGCCGACCAGTCTGCACTCCATGGTAACCACTGAACCCATCACTGCTTGGAGGTTGGATAATTCCTTCAGAAATGTGGGAGGAGCCACCGCATCTGTTTCAAACAACATCGGGCTTTTATTAGTCAATTGTTTCTGGAAATTTGGGAGATTTTTTCCAAACCTAAAACTTGTATGAACTTTGCTGGAGAGTTTACTTATGGGTGGTGAGAGGAGTGACGCTTCTTTCGGCTAACAATGCTTTTCAATGGTGTTTATGCTAAAACTAAAGAACTTGTGCAACGTTAGTATGAAAGCAGGTTTATATCTAAGAACCAATAAATATATCTGTAACATAGAGTAACTCATAGTGTGGTAGATGTTGTTTTCCAGATGATAAAACAGCTTCCAAACTCATCAACCATCATCATAATGGACTCCTTTATGAGACATCAGTTAACTATAAAACTAGGCTGCAAAAGTCAAATAGTTATTTTTCTTGTACAAGCGTTAAAACATCAAAAAATCAGAAAAAGTTATATTTGAGACTGAGAAACCAGCTAAAAACCTTCTACCCAACCAGAGGTGTAAGATAAAGCACAAATACTTAAAAATAGACTAAGTTTAGTTTCATTTAAGCACATTTTCATTATGGCCTGTTGTTATTCAAGAAGAACCATCAAAAATAATTAGTTTTATCCAGACAATTAATGTCTTTGTGGTTGGACTCTGTGCTGCCCCAACTTGTCGCTCACCACAAACCAAAATAAATAGTTTTTCAAGATGATGCAAAGTTAAATGTGACGCTGTTAGTATTAGTAATAAAACTAAGAAAATAAAGTCTAAGGAAGTTATCATCCAGAATTGTAGAAAAATGTTCCTTTAATAGGGTAGAGCAGTAAAGCTTCTGGCCTTAACAGTTTTTTTTTGCATTACTTTTACTTTTATACTTTAAGTAGTTTTAAAAATGGTAGGTTTATACTTTTACTTGAGTAAAAAGCTGAAGTTGATCCTCTAACTTCTACAAAAGTGTTTCTAAACAGTAAGAGTTATACTACTGGAGCAATAAATATTCATTCTTTGGACACCTCTGCTGACAATAAAACCAATAGAAACAGAGTGAAAACCCAGGGAAAATAGTCATATTTTCCACAAAAAGCAAAAAGATTCTACATTTCAGTTCTGCAGTAAAACATAAAACATCCAGCTTCATAGTAAAACCATAAATATATTTAAAACATTAAATGAAAACCATTAAAAACAGGGAAACAACTTCAGCTTGGATGTATAAAATCTACAAAGAATCAAAAGCATTGAGGAAGATTTCTTATCTGGTTTAGACGTTAAAACCTGAACTACTTTGAATCATCTTCATTTCTGATACATGGTGACGTCCATCCAAGCCTGACCTCCCTACCAGCAGGCACTGAGTTAATGAAGCTTTAAGACAGACATGAGAACCACAGAGTTCAGATTTCCCAACAGACGTGACGAAGCCATCACCATGATCTTTAAGCTCCACCTGTATTCTGCACCTCCCACTGTGGGACACCTGAGCGTTTTTCAAAGTCAACTCAGCATGGTCGGCTTCTCAGGACATCTGAACATGCTCGTCTTCCCTTAGGTCCTGACCGTCCCATTCGATTGGAACACCATAGGGAAGGCGGGCCGGAATGCTTGCACTTCATAGAGACATTAGAGACCAACATGCAGCACTCCTGCAGCATCTGAATAAATGATGGTGGTTCTAGTGGAAAAAAGAAAACTACATGATCTGAACTCAGGCTAAACCTGCAAATCCCTGATCCAAACATTGACAAAGCATGAAGAAAAATGATTTCTTGAAACCTGGAAAATGAGGAATAAATCAGCCGACATTAAATTATTAACAGATGCAATGACCGGCATGCAGCAGCAAACGAGAGATAACAGCAGTACTAACCTTTCAATGAAACCTGGCAAGAACAAGATGTCTCCCCAACATCATTTGCAACCGTGCAGCGGTAAGTCCCATCATCCCTGCTGTCACAGTCAGATATCTGAAGAGTCACTGTGTCTCTTTCAACATGGATTTGATGCTTATTATTGCCTCTTATCAGCTTATCGTTCAGGAAGCAGCTTATTTCAAATGGAGGGGAACCTGAGACGGTTCCTTTCAGAATAATATCAGATCCCTTCACAAACTCAGCCGATTCAAAAGGCTTTACAAACTCTGGAGGCTCTATGAGAGAGATGATAGAGGTCACATTTAACCAGGAGGCCTGAAAGGAAAGTTTAGTCTAGATCTGCTCCACATTTACGTACAGAACTTACCGTTAACCTACTGTCTATATAATAATTCAGACAAATATCCCTAAGTAAAGAAAGATGGAAGGGTGTGGAGCAGAAAACAGGAACAGATTGTCTTCAGACAGCACTGACCTTTGACATTTACCGAGCAGCTGCACTGCTCTCTGCCGGCGTCGCTAGAAGCGACACACATATACTCTCCGCTATCTTCCACGCTGCAGGACTCCACCTCCAGAGAGGCTACCGAGCTCTCAAAAGACACAGAGTATCTTTGGCCAGAAATGATTTCTGAGCCATTTTTCATCCATGTGATGGAGATCACAGGAGTTCCTGAAACTTTGCAAGACAGTCTGAGAGGCTGTCCGGCTTTTAGGAGCCGAGAAGGCTCAAGCTTCATCGTGAACGTGGGAGCCTCTGTAAATTCACAAGAGCAATAACAGTGAGCATGGGGAAGGGGTTAGTGGAAGGTTGGCTGAGACAGGATGGAAGCAGAACCTTTGACGAAGAGGATAGCGCTGCAGTCCACTTTCCCCGCATCGTTGGACACCTGGCAGGTGTACTTAGCCGATTCACTGGCTTTTACAGAATGAAGCTCCAAGGAACTGGAGGAGTTATCCTTCTTAATGACACATTTCCCCGCAGAGAAGATCTCTTTCTCCTCTTTGAACCATTTAACCACCAGTGGAGCAGACCCAGTGAATTCTGCTCTCATGACAACATTGCTTCCTGGTGCAACATCTCGGGACTCTGGTTTTACTGTGAAGGCTGGAGGTTCTGGAAAACAACACGCATGTTCAAAGCCTGTCAACACGCTTTGCCTGGCTCTATGTTTTGGTTTAGATCTCAGGTATTGAGTCTTCTCTGACCTTTGATCGCCAGCGTTCCGCTGGTTTCTGTATCTCCGGCCTCGTTTGAGGCGCGGCATGTATAAACTCCTCCGTCACTCTGCTCTGAATGCATTATCGCCAACGTGGCTGCGCCATCGCTGAAATCAAGCTTGTATTTATCGTTGCTGTGAATTTTTTTGTCGTCTTTGAGCCAAGAAACAGTCATAGGCTGCGATCCAGCAACTCTGCATTCCAACGTTATGTTACTACCAATACTTCCATCTAAGTTCTTTAGAGTTTTTGTAAAAGATGGTGGAACGGCACGATCTGCGTGGGGAACAAGCCAAAGACATTACGGTGACTGAAAGACCGCAAGATTTTTTTAAGGCATTGTGATTCGGTCATGTCAGCCAACACCAACCTATAACGGTGACCGAGCACATGCACTCGTCTCTGCCGACTTTATTGGAAACCTCCACCTTGTACTCTGAGGTGTCTCCTTTGTCTGCTGAAAGGATCTTTAGAGCGGCGGTGCTCTCCTTCACCGTTGTCTTATATTTACGACCACTGATTATCTCCTTTCCGTCTTTGAACCATCGGACTTTAAGCTCCGGGCTTCCGGAGATGCTGCACTGGAGCGTGGCCGAGTCTCCGGCCGTAACGCTGATGGATGCCGCTTTCTCTACGATCTTTGCTGGTTCTAAAACACAACACAAGCTTCAGGCTTCGTAGACCAACCCAGATTACCTTTAGGAAGAGCTAGCTGGATGGAGGTGGGTCCTGACCTTGGATGGTGAGTATAGCCTCACACTTCTGCTGACCCGCCTCATTCTCTGCGATGCAGGTATACTTGCCGCCGTGTTTTAAATCCACAGAGGCAAAGGAAATGCTGGGAATATTGTTCTCGAATGTTGTGGTGACGCTGGAATCGTCATCTATTAGTGACTTTGAGTCTTTCATCCATTTGATGGATATAGGAGCTGAGCCTTTCACAACTCCTTGGAGCTTCGCCACATTTCCCAGCACCACCGTAGAACTCTCAATCCTCTTTGAGAAGATAGGAGGCTCTGAAACAATATCGGTTTTATTAAATGTTAGCGGCTATCAGGGAAGCTAGCTCCATAGTCACACTGAGTTCTCTCTTTGACTGACCTTTCTGTTTAACCACTGATTTAGAGGTCACAGAGCCAACCGCGTTGGAAACAACGCATTCATATTCACCGATGTCGGCCGACTCGAATGCATGGATCTCCAAAGAGGTCAGAGACTCCTGTGACACTACTCTGTACTTTTTATCTGAGGACAAACGTTTCTTGTTCTTTTTCCAGGTCACTTCAAAAGGTGCAGAGCCTGCAATCTCGCACTCCAACGCCGCTACAGATCCCCTGACTGCCTCTAAGTAGGGCACGTCCTTAAGGAATGACGGCGGTTCTAATGGGGAACCAACAGCTAGGTTAGGACAGATTTTAAATACCAAACTTTGTTTTTCTAGTACTTCTGACTCTTCACACCTTTAACGGTCACTTTGGTGCTACAGCTCTCACAGCCTGACTCGTTCAGAACCTCACAGCTGTAGTTTCCGCTGTCGCTCGACGCAACGTTGCTTATCTCAACGGCAGCAACGCCATCCTTAAAACTGGTGGCATACCTGCCGCCGACCGGCAGCTCGCTGTTATTGAAGAACCAGGTGGTGTGGAGCTCAGGGGATCCTTTGACAGAGCACTGGAGCCGAGCCGTGCTGCCCTGCTTCCAGACTGTGGTGGCCTCCAGCCTCTTTACAAAGACTGGGGGCTCTGCAGGCAGGAGGTTAGTCAGAACCATTGCAAGGGAAGAAGATGTTATTTAAAAACATAGCAGCATTGGTGAAAAAAAGAGCAACTGAGTATAGATCAGAAAAAAAGCACAGAAATATTGATTGCTGAGTTTTTGAAGGTTAAAACACTAAAACACTGGAGTATAGTCAGACCTTACCTTGTACTTTCACAGAGGTGGAGCAAGAGCTACTTCCAGCTTCATTTGCCACCGTACACACATAATTTCCACAATCTTTCAATGTGGTTTTTAGGATATCAAGATTTACCGTCTTGTTCTCAAAAGACAGTTTACAGTCTGGAGACTGGTGGACTTTTCTACCATCTCTGGTCCAGGTGACAGTCACGCCTGTGTCCTCGTCCACCTGACACTCCAGGTGAAGAGGAGCTCCAACCACTGCTGCGACTGGACCCAGTGGCTTTACAAAGCTGGGCTTATCGACAACCAGCAGCTCCGTGCTGCACTCAGCCACTCCGGCATCATTAGATGCCCTGCACACATACAGCCCTCCGTCTGCCGCTTCAAGCATGGCAATCTCAAGAGTGTGCTTATTCTTTTCACAAGAGGTGCGGTAGTGTTCAGGCACTGAGGACACAGCCTGGTGGTCTTTAAACCACTCAACATTCAGAGGAGCGGATCCCGCTATAACACACTGTATCAGTGCCTTCTTTCCAACAAACACTGTTTGGTTTTCAGGCTTATTTTGAATAAATGGAGGAAATTTCTCTATAAAGATTAGGAAAGACAAAATGTTAGCGGTAAAATGTTATACTGGGTAGAAGAACCGGCATAAAGAAGGGTGATTCACAAGCATCGAATCAAACTATGAAGCTGTTCACAGATACTTAAAACTCCCTAAACATACCCAAAGTCAAGCAGCTATGAAGGAGTAAAAATGCAATGCTCCTACCTGTCACACTGAGAAGGGCGGAGCATTCATCACCGCCATGGTGATTGGATGCTTTGCAGCTGTACTCTCCACTGTCTTCCTTGGCTGCGCTCAGAACCTCCAGTGAGGAAGAGGTGAAGCGGCTGATTATCCGGTACTTATCACCCTCCTTCAGTGGGTGCCCATCTTTAAACCACTTGAAGTTCACATTCGGAGCATCCTCTGTGTCACATTCAAATCTGGCATTGTTGCCCACATTGACCTCCAGCGGTACGACTCTGTGCTTGAACACGGGTTTCACTGCATTTGGGGAGGAGAGGGAGAAAGAAAATAAAGTGAGCAGAAAGATATATATTTTTAAATAGATTCAAAGCAGACTCTATTGTTTAGCCCTGAAATGAAAGAAATGAATCCAGGGATGACTGTGGAGGAAGAAGCTTGTGGTTAGGTAGAGGAAAGAAGCTATGCATGCAAGAAATGGACCAAGGATGAGGAAAGACAGGTGCTGAGAGATATGACTCCAAAGAGGACAGTGATGGACGTGAGGATGGTTCGTTTTAAAGAAAGTGCAAATGTGAGGGAAGAAAAGTGAGGATGGCTCTGCTGCATTTAACTTTAAAAGCTTTCTCTGAGGACTAGAGGCAAAACATGACATGAACTCCTGAGTGAAGTTAGTTGATGATGATATCAAAGAACCGCCCATCATCAAACCTTTTGAGACCACAGTGAGCCTCGAAGACGTCGTGGTCCTGCCAGCTGCGTTCTCAGCCTCACAGACATATTCTCCTTGATGCCTCTCCTTCAACACTTTGTGGATAACTAATGTGTATGTGTCATGGTCCTCAGAACACCTGAACTCTTCACCAGATTCCACCAGCTGACCATTGAAGAACCAGTTCACCTCGGTTGCATTGTTGATAGTCGTAGTAAGAACAGCGTCACCGTTTATTTCTGCAAAGGTTTCCTCCAGAGGCTGAACAACAACAGGGCGATCCATCGGGCTGTCAGAGGACTCGCTAATCAGGAAAGCCTCTGAGAGGTACTCCTCTCTGGTGTCCACCTGCACCATAGCAACCTGCTCTACGTCTTTCAAGGTGGTTACTGTGGTAACGCCACTCGCTTGCTGAAAGCCGTAGCTCTGAATTGTTGCACTTTGGAAAGAACCCATTGACTCTGTTCTTAAATCTGCAGAAAAGGATGCATCTGGAGTAAACAAAGCAACGCTCTCTGCCACCATCACTGTATCAGTCACGGTGGACATCATCTCTTTGGAGGGTGCTGAGCTGATGTGGACTATCTGAGGTCTGTCAATCTGCAGGGTACCATGCTGCTCTGAAGTAAGACTCTGCTGTTCTTGGAACAACATGGCTCGTAGCGCCACCTCCAGTTCTGTCTTGAGATCTGCCACCTGAGGATATTCCCCTTCAAAGGACAGCGTGATCTCCAATGGGACACCGGGCGATGTGATCAGATATGTAAATGTTGTCCTTCTGGGTTCTCGTTGAACTTTGACTTCCTGTATCTCAACCGCTTCTAACTGTCCCACAGCCTCTGCCAGTAGGACTGCCTGATTGGTGGCCACAGCAGACTGGAGAGCGTCTTTCAGCTGATGTCTAATGGTCATACTGGTTGGTTTGGGGATGTTTAGAACAAAGCTGAGCTCTTTGGGTAGAGGAACAGAGTCCTGAGACTCATGGAGAAAAACGACTCCTTTCGGTTGGGTCTGAACCTTGACAGTGGAAGCCTGGGTTTGATGTATCTCACTAGACTGTTCCTTCAAGATGACCTGCCTCTCTTCCAGCTGCACAGACTGTTGGACTGACTGCCCCTCCTTAATCGCAACTGCTGAATCTCGTTCTGCAGCCTCTAAGATTGTGCACCTCTCTGTTGCCGCCGCCTTTTCTTCTATGAACACGGGCCTCTTTGGGATCTTTGGTTCGACTCTAACTACAGGCTTGAATTCCTCATCTGTGTGCAGGCTAGTGGTGTGGCCCTCCTCTAAAGTTGGGGTGTCTGTGATGTTCAAGGACTGCAGGATGTTCCACTGCTCCTCTCTCTGAATTAGTACTCGCTGCTCTCTAACGGTGTCAGTGAAAGGGGTCTCCTTCGGGAGGAGTAGTGACTGGGAAGACACACCAAGAATGTTCGGAGGTCTGGACTCAGTTTTATGCTTGGCCTTCATTCCATCCACAGACACACTAAGATCTTTGTGATGATCTGCTATGATCTCTCTGTGCATTTCTGAAGACGCGGCATGGCTTCGAGCTCTTTCCTGCTTGGCTGTGGCTGCCTGCTGTTCAGGTTTGGTAAAGACAATGATCCCTTCCTTAGGTAGTTGTGGAACAGACTGGATAGACTGGAGGTACTTCTGCTGTGGCTGCTCTTTTCTTGGCTGAGCTGAGGCATAGTCAGTCTGCACTCTGACCTCTGAGGTCGACTCACACACCAAGGCCCTCTGCTCTTCCTGAATTACAGAGTGCAGCAAAGTTGGACTCTTCCTTACATCTGCCTGCTCTGTGGGAGGCTGTTCACTGCTGAACCGCCCCTCGGACTCTAAACCACACTGATCACTGATGACCTGCAGATTTAAAACTTGTTTCTCCTCCCCCATCACCTGCAGACACATCGGACTCTCTAGTGGGGCCACTTGTACCGTCTGTTCTGCCTGAATCGGATATTTTTCTTCATTAGTCATGGCTGATTTATAAAGCTTTTCTTTGCTTGTCTGGATGGTTTGCTGCTCTGGATTATGTATTTCAAAACTGCGCTCTTTAGTGAGAGTCCCTCTGGTTTCACTCATCGGTGCATGCACTGGATTAGGTTGTTCTTTTCTAACCTGTGGCGTTAAGGGTGGGTTCAGAGCTAGCAGAGGCTCAGAGTGGGTTTCTGCGAGCAGCAGCTGCTCAGCAGATTGAGCAGAGTAAGAAATCTTCATCCCCTCTTGGACTCTAAAACTTCTCTCCTCCTCTGGTCGCTCCACAGCACCAGACACATCAGCAAGGATGGGGAGAGCGGATTCTACTTGGTAGCTGCTGAGCGGCTGCCTGGGTTCAGCCGTGGTCTCCATGTGTTCCTGAGTCTGGTCTGCCAGAGGCTCAGCTCTCACTGTGCTCAGGGACAGGACTTCCTCACAGGTAGCCGACATGATCTCAGACGGCTTCTCCTCTGAGGATTTAAGGTCAACAAGCTCAGGGCTCAGAATCCTCTCTGAATGCTGCTCTGTGATCCTCTGGCTCTCCTGGACTGAAGACAGGAATGAAGCCATGTGAAGCTGCTTTGTAGATTCAGCTAAGACCTCAGCGGGGTGTTCTAGAGCTAAAGAAACGCTCTCATGAACTTCATGTGACTGTAGAAGAGCGGCCTGCTGGGTCATCTGCTCTCTATGCAGAGTAGCAGCAGAGACGTTGATCTCCTGGAGGGTTTCCACCTCCTCACTGGGGATAATCTGCCGGTCTTCGGTGCTGATGGTGTAAATCAACTGATCCGACCGGCTTCTTTCCTGGCTCAGCCGGGACTCTGTGCTTTGCTCAGTCAGGGAAATCTTCAAGCCTTTTGTTTTCTGAATCAACTGCCTCTCCTGCTGAGCTTTTTGGCCAATGACCACCAGTTCAGCACTGCAGGCGGCCTCACCAAACAGATTGCAAGCTTTGCACGTGTAGGTACCACTGTTCTCTTCTTTGACACTCTCAATGCTGAAAAAGCCGGATCCGTCCGGACTGTTCGCCATGACGACGAACCCGGCCGGCTGGATAATGGAGCTTCCTTTGAACCACTGAACATCAGGGAGCGGATCTCCACTCAGCGTATATCTGAAGAAACACTGGCCACCCTCCGATAACTGAACCGACTCTATCGCTTTCAGAAACTTTGGAGGATGGCCGACGGACTTCTGCATTTCCTCGCCAACCCTTCTCTCCTCTTCGGGTTCTTTCACCTGAACGCGAAGAAACGAGGAGCATGTCGACTGCCCGAACCTGTTGCTGACCGTGCAAGAGTACTCCCCATCATATTCTCTACGAACTTCGTTAATAACTAAACTGTACTTGTCTTGTCTGTGAATGAACGTATAGACCGATGAACTGGTTATGGTCTGCCCGTTGTGAAACCAGTGGACAGTGGGTGCTGGGAAACCCAACACTTTGACCGTAAAGGCAAAGCTTTCCCCGACAGCTGCTACTGCTGCTGGGGGAAGCTCGCTGAGGAAAACTGGTTTTTCTTTTTTCCTCTCCAAAGAGCTGGAGAAGCGTTTGGTCTCTGGTTTGAGTTCAAGTGTTCTGGTTTTATCAGGTAATTTTAAGCCAGTGCTGAATGACTCCTGGATCTCCTCTTCCACTGTGATGGTTGAGCTAGAAAAGGCTGAGTGGAACAATGAGAATTGAAAGTAAATCACACATCCCAGTAGGGCTGAAACAATCAGATTAATCGATTATTGAAATAATCATCAACTAATTTAGTAATCGATTAATCATAAATGAGTGTATAGAGACTCTAAAACAGGCATCTCCAAAGTCGGTCCTAGAGGGCCGCTTTCCTGCAGGTTTTAGAGGTTTTCCTGCTCCAGCACAGATGATTTACATTGATAGTTGATTAACAGACTTTTGCTGAACTGTAATTATCAGAATCAGCTGTGTTAAAGCAGAGAAACCTCTAAAACCTGCAGGACAGCAGCCCTCCAGGACCCACTTTGCTCTAAAACATGCCTGTAGCTGAGAGAGTGGCCCACTTAGAGCATTAATTATATCAAAATTGTAAAACATTCTCTACATTTTTTGCCTTTTCATCTGTCAGTATGCTCTATACGGATCTTTATTTAGCGGAAAAGTTTTAGTTTCACCTGGTTTATTTCATAAAACCTCTTCTTTAAGCAACCTTTGGTTATCCAATTATTAATTTGCAAAATAATGGTTAGTTGCAGCCCTACATCCCAGCATCATCCAGCTCAAGTGAAAACAGAAATAAATCAAAATCTAAATAAGAGCATTTTTGTCTTAAAATGAGGAGGTAAATGACACTCTTTGCCGATGACAATTTACAATTCATTGTCTTATTTCAAGTGCCTTTTATCTAATTATCTTATTTTAAGAGTAAAAATAGTCCTTCATACTCATTGGCAAATTATCTCATTTACCTGCTCAAATTAAGGGTAAATACACTTAATTTAATAAATGTTTACTTATTTCTAGATTGTTTTTCCAGTGTGAAACCTTGAATGTTTTACCATCAATTAAGATTTAGTCAAACACTCACAAACATTGGAATGTCGGAATCTAAACACATTTTATGCAAGAAGGAAACTCATAAACGGATGAAAGACATTAAGAATAAATTAAGATTCAGCATTGGTTTCATTTAAAAACACAAAACTAAACTGATTCAAAGCTGAATTTTATTTCATGAAACTTATGAAACAACACATTTCAGATATAACGAAGTTAATTCAGCCCCTCCCCTCCCTGTTGGATCAGTATCTACCTTTAACGTCTTCCTTAACCTCTGGCTCCTTCTCCGCCTCCGTCACTGTAAGACACAGAATGGCTCCAATTAAAAAAACATTTCTATAACTGTCTTCAAAGCACACGGCGGTTAGAATCTGAGGAGTGGTGCAGCCGTTTGATCCACAGGGGCGTGTCTTTGAGTTCATCCTCTCTTCATGCCTCCATTCGCTCTTTTACTGAGCAGCAGATATGTCTTCTCCTTAAAGTTTTGTGATATAAATGACTCTCCCTTCATAGCTCTAATGTTTTTAGTCAAGAGTGCAAGACACAACGAGTTGGAGACGCTGCCTGGTGCTAAAAGTGGTGGTGGAGGAAACAATGTGCATGGGTGTGGGGCACAGAAAGGACCAAAAGCATGCAAATGCCAACCTTTCATCCCTGTGCTGCACTCAGCATCTCCAGCTGAGCTCAGAGTTTTCAAACAGTAAGAGCCCCCCCGTCCGGCTCCCTCATTATTAGCATCTATACAGCACAGAGCGCTGTCCTGTTTCAGAGAGTACCAAACAGAGTCCTTCACATTCAAACGGCTGTAAAGCCAAATGACAAATGAAGCAGGAAGCCCCTTCATGATGCAGAGCGGAGACTTCCTGTCTTTGCTTCTGAGCAGCAGTTCAGGGGGGAGTTTGATCAGGAGCTCCGGGCGGTCAAAGAGCCGGCGACTCCGCTCGTCATGAGGCATCACGTCCGGGAAATATAACTGGAAAGGTCTTTGGGAAGATTCAGGCAAAGATCGAAGCTTCTTCTTTGACTCCTGCTTCTCCTGCTCAGAGAGATCTCTAGAACTCTCTTTGTCTGCTTGAGACGCTTTACGGACAGAACCGGTAGGGATGGGGGTCTCTGCTTTGAGGTTCGCTTCTTTAGCTGAGTGAGAATAAAGTTAGGGAGAGTAATTAGGGGTCAGAGTCAAAAGCTACGGCTATAACCATGAAAGGGTTAGTAGGATGGAGATGAGATTAGCGAGGGGAAGCTGGCGTCAGGGAGGGAGCAAAGCTACACTAACAGAGGCTGTTATTCCATTATTCTAACAGATTATCAACTAGGAGGAGATATTAAGTCATGATGAGGGGGTCCGAAGCAGGAGGAGCGGATGGAGAAGTGAAATGGACCAGTTGGAAATGAAAAAGAAGAAAGATTAACCACCTTCAACAGTAAGCCTGGCAGAGGAACTGTTCTGACCGTGCGGGTTGGTGGCTGTGCAGCGGTAGGTTCCCTGATCGTCCGTGTCCACGCTCTGGATGAGCAGGGACAACAGGCCCCCGCCCTCAGAGCGCCTTACCCGCTCCGTGTCCACCAAGTTCTGACCGTTATGATCCCACACCACTGAGGTGAAAGGCTGCCCGTCGAAAGAGCAGCTGAACTCGGCCACCTCGCCGCTTCTCACTCTGATGTCGCTCATTTCCGTCAGCAGCTGGGGGCTGGCTGAGAGGCTGAAAGCAACGCTGCTGCGAGAGCTCGTCTCCACTGAGGTCACGCTCTCCATCTGAACCTCCACCGTCCTCCAGGACACGGAGGACGCTTCAGAGACGAGCTCAGAAAACTCAACAGTGTGGGCGGTTTGACCCGCCGACAGAGAGCTGAAGCTCTCCGTCTGAGCTTCCCGTCTCTGAGTCACTTTAGTCTCAGACACACTAGCTAAGGCTTTACCATCTGGGCAGTAAGAAAGGATAGAAGAATAAGGTCAGAACAGCAACACAGCGGCCATTTTCCAGGTTATTTGTTTTCCAAAGTGCAGTCGGGTTGGAGTTTGTGCAGTGAGGGCCGGACGGCAGCTCGTTTCCACAGATCAACCATGCAAACTCCAGAAGTCATGAAAAAAGATGTGGGTTATGACCGTGAGTGGAAGGGATCCACAAAGCTGTACGTCCACAGCGACCATGCTGACTCACTCTGAAACAAAGAAGGTCTCAACCAACCAGGTTAGACGCTGCAGGTGAAGCAGGAGAGGACATCATGCAGCACAGCAGGGAAGTTATAGCTTCAAGCGAAGGCGTCTGATTCCTCTACATGCAGTGGAAACATCAAATAAAAACTGATTTTCAGATGAAAAAATGCGATGAGGTGAAATGTTTCCTTTCCAGTTCCCTGTGAAACCAGTTCCCTTATTTTTTAACATGCAACTGAAGGCTGGAAGAGTAAAACACTGCAAAAAATTGAAATCTAAATAAGCCATTTTTTTTCTTAAAATAGGTGCATTTTTCTTGCATTAGTGAGTTAAGTGAGACACTTTGCCAATGGAACAACATTATTTACATTTAAAATTAGCTAAAATAAACTGCATTCTCTTATTTCAAGTGTATATCATCTAATGATGTTATTTTAAGAGTAAAAAAAACATTCTATTGGCAAATCATCTTATTTACCTACCTACGTAATTTAAGATATTTTTTACTTATTATTTAAAAGAGAAACAACCGTAGTCTCTTATTTTAAGTGAATATTTTATTTTAAGAGTAAAACCAATCATTACAGGGTGAATAGACCTATTTTTTTTAATTTGTTACTTGTTCTTAGATCGTTTTTGCAGTGTTTGGTCCTTTCTAGCAAGATCTGAAGCAAAACCCTGTTTTCATCTTAGAGGAAGGAAAGAAGAAGCTGAAACTTTAACGTCCCAGAAGCTGGGCTCAGTGTCGCCAGGCAGAAATACTTTTCCGTTCTGGATCTAAATGCTTGATGGAAACTAGAGCTGAGAAATATAACAATACTCAATATATTAGGGTTAATCAATATTTTTTGATCCTGTTTAAATCTAATGAATTGCTATTGGCTCTATTTCCTGCACTATCAATGTTTTCTGCAAAAAATAAAATCTAGAAATAAGTACAAATTCTTAAATTTGGCGTATTTACCTTTAATTTCAGTATTTTTGGAATTAGCATTTTATCACTAGATAATAATATGCATTTGAAATACAGTAGTAGCCATTCAACATTTTCATTTCATTGGCTGAAAATATTCCTTTTTTAAACATCAATCTTTGTACTAAAATATTCTTTCGGTCTAAAATCCGAATTGGAAGCAGAGTTAAAAGTGAAACTGTCATAAAGTGACTGGCTTTCAATGTGCAAAACACAACATTCCTTCTCAAGTTCTAGAGGCTGGAAGGAATTTGGAAGGAAAAACTTAATTCGCTACTTCATAACACCTCAATTACAAAATAAATTATTCCATATTCAACAACAATGATCTAAAGAGAAGCGCCATCTCCTGGTCAGACCCTGTAATTCAGTGAGAGGGTGGAGTCAGGGTAAAGAAATATGCAAGAGGGGAGTCACTGCAGTGGCTGGGAGTTGGCTGCCATTAAATCGGGAAGGGCCTTTGAATGGCTGCTACTGTAAGACAATACAATAGTTTTTTCTTACTATAAATATAAATTGTCTTGTTCCACTGGCAAACTGTCTCACTTACCTCCTCAATTCAAGAACAAATGCAGTTATTTAGATTTCCATTTCTTGCTGCGTGGGCATTTGTTTGTCCACAACTCAAACCAAAAAAGGCATCATGCTTCCTGGGATTTAACGTCTGACTGCCATGCAGTGGTTCTGGACTCGTCCAACCAAACCCTTTAATGAAAAGAAGCATCTGCATGCAGGAACTCACCATCCAGGTTCAGAGTGGCAGAACATGTGACCATCCCTGCTGAGTTAGTGGCAATGCAGGAATACTCTCCCTCATGAGAGGGGAGGACTCTGGAAATCTCCAGCAGGCAGGTTTCATCCATATGAGACATCCTGAAGATGTCGGACTGTTGGATCTCCTTGTCTTTACGGAACCAAGAAACCTGCAGATCTGGAGACACATTGTTCACGGAAGTCAGCGTCATCCGAGCGGCGGCAAGCAACAGGTTCGCTAATGAAAGGAAAGTTACGCAGCAACACAAAAGCCGAGCAGAAGGGAATACCTTCCCCTGAGATGGTACACTTCAGCTGAGCGGGGCTTCCCTGTGGGACCAGAACATCCCGCATGGGGCTGATCAGAACCGGAGGGGAGATGGGAGCGGCGGTCTCAACCACCTCAGGAACTGAAAGATAACATGTTTGCTGTTAAAGACGAGTCCTTCCAGCTCCTTCTCAGATATTTAAACGCAATTCACCTGAATAGTTTCAAAAATATTTACTGGAAAACCAAATGATTCATTTGAAAGTGATTCTTTAGCTAGTAAGTTAGCTAAAGAATCAAGGTAGTACGCTAGCTGCTAAAAGTTAAAGAGCAGGAAATAAAATGTTTTGCTCCTGTTCTGCTAATTGTTTCCCCAGAAGAAGAAGGAAAAACATAATTCCAGGACTTTGACGCTCCAAAATAAAAGATGTCGAACCTTCTACGGTTAGGGGGGCGGAGCTTGTGGCTGCTCCAAAGTCGTTCTTGGCCTCACAGCTGTAGACGGCGGCATCCTCAGGGAAGACCTCTAGCAGGAGCAGCGTGTGCTCGTCTCCGTCATGGAGGAACTTGCATTTGTAGCTGCTGGTCAGCAGCTGGGAGTCTTTGTACCAGAGCATCTGAGGCGCAGGGAGGCCGCTGACATGAGCCGAGAAACGCACCATCCGACCCGACATCACTGTCTGGGGCTGCATGTGGCGCACGATCTGTGGCGGCTCTGGCACTGAGCGGAGAAGCAGACAGTCAGTGAAAACTAGCAGAGATGCAGAAGAAGGTCCATCCTGGATAATAGCTGCTGCTGGCTAGAGGAGCTTACGTCTAACGTGGAGGTTCATGCTGCTGCGGTTCTTGCCGGCGACGAAGGTGTATTCTCCAGCGTCACTCCTAAAGGTCTCAGAGATGGTGAGGCGGTGCAGCCTCCTGATGGCGGCGTAGTTGAAGCGCTCTTCCTCAGAGAAATGGATTTCCGCTCCGTTCCTCAACCAGTGTCCCTCCACTTCGTCCTCATTCACCTCAAACTCAAAGGTTGCCCTTTGCTTCTCCACCACCTGTGCAGAAACACGGTTATTTTGACGTATGATCCGAAGAACTGGACCAGCTCAGATCTGGTCGAAGCTCCACAGAGCAGGAACTCACCGTGACATCTCTGCTTTCAGGCTCTGAGATTTTCACATCTCGTCCTTCGACTGCCAGGTGTCCCACAGACATGCTGGAGCCAGCGACAGCCGTGTACTCGCCAGCATCGGACAAGCGGACTGACGGCAGAACCAGCCGGTGGACGAAGTTGTCTGAGGACATTTTGAACCTTTGCAGAAGGAAAGGCAGACTCGTTAATGATGTCGGGAAAAGACTTAAAGGGTCGCAGCATCTGAAGAAGAGCGTCTCCTCACCTGTCGGACATCTCCAGCTCCTGTCCGTCCTTCATCCACATCACCTGCACGTTGGGCTCAGAAACCTCACACTCAAAGGTGGCCCGCTTCTTCTCGGTGATCTTCAGGTCTTTTAGGTGTTTAGTGAATTCGATAACACGAGCTGCAGAGACATAAACGTTTCATTTGATCCAAGTTCTTTGGTTTTTTATTTTGGTGGTTGTGATAGTAGGACGAATATGAAGCCGGATCTTACCTTCCACGTAGAGCTTAGCTGTAGTGGCAGCAGAGCCCGCCATGAAGGTGTAATCGGCGCTGTCTCCAAAGTGGACGTTCCTGATGCTCAGAGTGTGAGTGAGCTGCTTGCAGCGAGCCTGGCACCTGTCCGTGGATTTGATCTCCACGCCGTTCTTCAGCCACTTGTAGGTGATTCCCTCGTAGTTGATGTTCACCTCAAATGTGACGGTGTCTTTCTCCTGAGCGTTCAGGTCCTCCAACATTGTCGTGATCAGAATCGCTGGGAGGAAACAGACCAGAGGTTAATTTGAGGTGTTCTTTCACCTTCAGGGGAGGAATTGTTAATTAATTTTTAAGTAAGCGGCTGTTCCAACCGTTGCAAATCCGAATTCTCCAGAGTGGTGCCCGTCTTTACACGAGTGAATAAAGTGAATGTGATTGGTCGATTAGCAAAGGGGCGGGATTGTTGTGGCGGAAGGTTCGCAAGCAAGTTTGGTTGTAGCCGGTTTGTCGGAAGCATCTTGCTAACCAGTTAGCAACTTAATACTAGTAGGTTCCCAATGTGAAATTCCATTGGGACCAAGTAGCACTAAATTGGTGACTTAGAAACGACACTGTCAAAGAACGCTATGGACAGCGGAAACATGCAAGAGGAGGAGAGTTTTGCCTCGCAACGCTGCCAGTTCTGTTAGCTCTACGCCTGCCGAAGACACAGACGTCCATCCCCATGAACACTGGGACAGAACTCAATGGGAAAGGAAAGGATTCTGATTTCAATGGTTGCCTAAATTAGCTGCGACATATGAATCAAGATGCTAAGACTGAAAAAATTTACATTGATAGATGACCGTTGATATATGATTGGCCGAATTTAAGTTGTTCAGGCTGACGTATAACTAACTGGCCTGCAGAAGATAACGAAAAAGAAAAAAAACAGACTTTAAGACAAGATTTTTTTTTTTTTTTATAGAAATTTTCTAAATTTTGGGACAATATAGTCTGATAAAGAGTACATGTTTAAGCCACAATGATTTCACATTTAAATATGAATTCCCTACAATTTTAAAGATGCTAAAATTCAGTAAATTCAAGTTTTTTTTCTTTAAATAATGCTTCAGAAATGGTTGTTCGATTTCTTACGGTTGACGGTGAGCGTCGCCGACACACGGTCGTTCCCGCAGACGAAAGTGTACTCCGCGGAGTCTTCCCTGCTGGTGTTCATGATCTTCAGCTGGTGGAGTCTCCCCTGAACCACGATGCGGAACTTCTCGCTCATTTCGATCTCCACACCGTCCTTCAGCCAGGTGGACGGCACGTTGAAGTGGGATACTTCGCACTCAAATGTGGCCACCTGGGTCTCTGGGACCTCCACGTTCTTTATGGGTTTGGTTACCCGCAGAGCTGCAGAAAAAGGTTCAGATGGTTTGGTTCCCCTTCGATTTTACGACTAGCAGAGGAAAACACTGAATTCACGGCTTACACTCCACAGTCAGGTGAGCGCTGCACTGCAGATGGCCGACCAGCACGGTGTACTCTCCCTCCTTGCTGCTGTCGACGTCCTGGATGATGAGTTTATGACTCCTTTTCTCAGACAGCAGGGTGTAGTGCTCGTTTGGCTTCAGCTCCGTGTTCTTGAACATCCATTTCACTGGGATGTTGTCTTCAGAGATTCCCACCTCAAACATAGCTGTTGCTCCAAGCAGTGATGTCACATCCTTTGGCTTCTTAAGAATCTTAATGGCTGGGGGAACAAAATTAAAAATGATTTTGACATTTTTCTCAAACCAAAAACGGCGAGGCGAACGTCCTTCTTACTTTCAACGTTAAGTCTGGCGCTTGCAGACAGCTTTCCCAGTTTGAAGGAGTAAACAGACTCGTCGTGGGTGGAGCAGTTGTTGATCTTTAAGGTGTGAACCATGCCCTCCATGCTGATTTCAAACTTCTCACTGGGCTGGATCTCAACACCGTTCTTGATCCACTGCACCCCCCTGACGTTCTCATGGGTCAGTTCCAGGCTAAACACGGCCTCCTGAGTCTCAACGACGTTCAGGTTCTTCAGCGTCTTCTTGATCTTTACAGCTGAGGGGACAAACATCAGCATCAGTTAAAGATTCATGGATTCATTATTTATATACATACTAAGGCAGCACTTGCTACTAAAGTTAACTTCTTCAATTCTAAAGGTTCCTTTCAGATGTTCGGCATAGATTTCAACTGAGGTGTCCAAAGTATTAATGTTTATTACTCCATTACAAATATGAATCCTGCTGTTTAAA